TTCCATTTGCTATGAATAAGTGAGTGGCAGCCAGCTGTCCACTCTCCAGATAAGGAGAGTCCCTCAGCAGCCTTTAGGTATCCCATCCCCTTACCAGGGGGAGTATCCCTACCCCTGCCCCGAATCCACAGTGCTCCTCCCTTAGCAGAGTGGAGGTCTCGATAGAGAAACTGTGCTGTAATCACCCTCGGAGTGAAAAATACCCCATTCAAGAACTCTAAGCAGAAGTTAGTATCTTTTGCTGGGGGTGGGGGTGGGGAGGGCAAGACCCACCTCATATCGCTCTGACAGCTTCACCAGCACAAGCGGCTCTAGCTTGTGGCCGCAAAAGACCAGCTGGAAGAAGCACCTGTCATAGGCTGCCAATAGATGAGCAACTGAGCCAGCAACCTAACCTCCCAGAGGCTAGGATAGGATGGTAGGGGTGGGGCCTCCAGGGTGGGAGTGTCGAGACTATTGGACCCTCCCAGCCCTGAATCCGCATCCCTTTCCCTCTCCCCCCTCCCTCCTCCCCTCTCCTATCGCAGGCATCACCATCAGAGCTGAGTGCCAGGCGCACGTAGACCAGATGCATTGGCCCCTGACATACAGTTCGGCCGCGGATAGAGAAGTGGTACATGCCACGAGTGTGGTTCAGCACTAGGCGGCGCCGGGGAATTGAGGAAACCATGAGCCACAGGCCTATAGCCATGCCGTAGGCAGGAAAGCACCAGGTCTCCTGCTTCTCCACCTGTGGGCACCAAGGGTTATAGGGAGGCGAGTTCTGGCAGGAGGGTCCTGTGTGACCCTCATGCCGAGAGCTGTGGGGTGGGGGACAGGAGCTCTCACGTGTCTGAGGACATTACAGCAGATCAAGAGAAGGCAGACGATAAAGAGCAGCGTCCCCTTCCAGAGCGTGTCCAGGTAGTACTCGAGCACAAAGACTGGAGACAGCATGACCAGGCACATGAGGACAGTCAGAAGCTGCCCCCAGGCATCGGACAGTGCCAGGGCTTTGGGGGAAAGGACCCACCCAGTGGAGGTTCTGCATGCTACCACAGTGTCTGCACTCACAAGTGCACCTGCCTACCCTAACCCATCCAGGCTTCAGCCAGCCTCTCCACTTGTGGGAACCTAGCCGTGCCCAGGGACCTGCCCACCATCTGGCTGCTGCTGCTTGAAGGGGTAGAAGGGGTTGTTCTTGAGGCGCTTGGCTAAGTGGCGCTCAGTAGAGAAGAGTCCTAGGGCCCAGAGCTGGAAACGCTTGGCAACGACAGACGCGGGGAAGCCACTGGTCTGCTCCTTGGGGACCTAGTTAGGTTGAGGTAGTCAGTACTCGGCTTGCCCGCTGCCACCGCCCACTGCCTACATCCAGGCTCCCACCCGAGGCAATTCCAGGGTTGCAGTTCAGGGAGGACCAGGAGCTGCCAGATAAGAGCAGGGCAGGGAAGTCGACAGCAGTCCAGGCTGGGCACCTGGGTTCTAGAAGTTCAAAGGTAAAGGATTCTAGAAGGGGCTTTCTATTGACCACACCTTTGTAGAGAACATGCTGTCAACATCATCAACTCACAGGTTCTGGTGGCTGTTAAGGGCCTCTAGGTGTCCCCCCCCCACCATTTTACCCCCCACTGCCTACCCTGTCCTCAGAAAATTGTGTCCTAAGGGTAGGATTCACACAGTAGTCTAAGAGTCAACTCTGCAGTGAGCAGACACAGCAAACCCTTGGGCCAGGAAACCTAAGCCATTCCAACACACACAGGCCTGGGCTGCTATAGTCCGCTCCGTTAGGTACGATCCGTTTTTTCACGAAACAACTTCCTCTAAGGGCCATACAAGCTGATCCACGCTTGTAAGTCTATCACTCAGGAGGCTGAGATAGGTGGATTGCTGTGAGTTTAAGGTCAGCCTGGGCTACACTGAGTTCCAGGCCAGCCTAGATTAGCATGAGCAGACTCTCAAATAAAACAACAAAGGACCATACAGAATGCCTAAAAATACTTTATTGTAACAAAAGCTCAAATATTTCCAAGTGAAAAGGGCCAGGGCAAAGCTGGTCGGCGTCTAGTTAGGTGGAGGATGGTGGGCTGGTAAGCAGCTGCTCTAGACACCACTGGACTTCCTCCAGGCCCCGGTAGGCACGCTTCAGTCCCCTGGGGAGGCACCGGCAGGACTCCAGATTGAGATACAGCAGCCCTGGGCAACTGCTAATCACAGAACTGTGAAACAGGCAGGCCATGGGAAAGTGAGCTGCTGGCCAGGGAGCTTGTCTGCCCTCACCTGACAACAGGTCTACCACCACAGCCACCCAGGCCTAAGACTCTTGATGGGAGTCTGACCAGTGCCTACACCCCTCTCAGCCCCTGAAATATGAAACCAGGGAGGACACCTCTGGTTCCCCAAGTCAGACATGGCAGCAAGCAGTACAAGACTCAAAGAACTAGAGAAGCAGGGACTGACCTGACTGTGCTTGGTGTAACTCGGGTGCCCCTTAAGTTGAGGGAACACAAGGCTGGGTGCGAGCCCCCAGAGGTGCCAGAGAAAACGGCTAGGGCCTGTTCCAAGTCTTTCTCGCTGAAGCCTTGGCCACTGAAGTCCAGCTCCCTCAGGGTGTGATACCACTTCTGGGTGAGCAGGGGGCTACCTTTCTTAGCCAGAGTTAGCCCATCAGATATGCCATACAGGCCCAAGTACAGCTGCTCCAGTTCTGAGACGAGAGAACGGACTGTGAACAGTAGGCAGGCAACGGTGCCACACCCCACCCACCCCGCAAGGCGGCCAGCTGACCTTGACACGGCAAATCACACAGGCCGCTGGGTGTGACCCGAGCACAGCCACGGAGGTCCAGCAGGCGCAGTTTGGGGGAACAATGGAGCAAGCGTCCCAGAACCTCATTGCTCACAAAGTTGCAGGAGGAGCCAGCCAGGCAGAGCTCCTCAAGGTTGGGGAAGCCTGGTCCCTGGGGCATCCCCCGTCCACAAGGCTTGGGAAGCCAAATCAGGTTCAGGAGTCGTAGCACCTGGGAGTCGGGAGGAGGGACAGGCTGCAGACAGGAGGATGAGAGGCAAGCAGGGGAAGGTAGGGCATGGATACCTGTAGCCGGGGGCAGCCTTTCTGCAGAGCCTCCACAGGCAGTTGCAGGGGTGTGCTGTTGCAGCTCATGCCAGTGCTGACCTCTAGGACTTGGAGCTGGGGGCAGCAGCTGCCCTGGGATGGCGGGAAAACACATGAGGTCAGGGGCCTGGCCGTCCCCATGCAGCTCTGTCCCTGCCCATCACCAACCTACCAGCAGCGCACCCAAGATGGCTGTCGTCTGGGAACTGTAGGTCAGCCACAGCTTCCGCATGCGGGGGCCTGCCTCCTCCAAGAAGCTCACCACAGCTGTGGACTCTACCTGGGGACCCAGCACAGGAGTGCCAATGGCCTCACCAGAGCCCGGGCCTTGTCGGGGGCTCCTTGGGGCACAGGACTCACCATGGAATGGTGTAGGTCCAGGCTGTGGAGCTGGCGGCAGGCTTTTGCTACCATGAGCAGAGTGTCAGCTGTCACACTGTGGCAGTCCGAAAGCTTGAGGAAGGTGAGCCGAGGACAGAACTTGCTAACCAGCTGCGGCAAGAGAAAGGGCCATCTGGGGTTGGGGAAGGCAGGTAAAGACCCACAGAGACACCGGAAGCCCCAACAAGCCCATCCCACAGCCCAGCTATGACTCCATTCTCTCTACTTGGGTGCCTTTTCCTCTGGCAACTTCCTACCGAAGTGTCAGCCAAGACAGAACCGGGTAGACAGGCGGACATCTCTGTGGGGGAACACCACACGGATAAGAGGACAACTCAAGAGTCACACTAGTGTTCAGGGCAGGCTCAAGCTCTCACCTCCAACACAGGGTGTACTTGAGATTTCCAATGGATGAGGGTCAACCTCTGGAGTTGTGAGAACCTGGGCGACAGCAAGGCCCAGTTGCGCAAGAGCCCTCACGCTGCCCCTCTGGCCAGCACCCTCCCTACCCAACACGGACGCACGGAGGCACACGCAGAGCAAGGGGCTAAGATGGCTGAGGCCCCTCACCGATTGGGTATGAGCCACTCCAGGGAAGCAAGGAGCTTCTTCTCTGCCTTAAGGTTGCCCTTGGAAGCCCGGCCAACCAGCAGGGGTGACAGGGTCACGGTGTGCCAGAGCGCAGGATGGGAGGTGGCTTCATGCCAACGGCGGCAAACGCGTGCAGCCCTAGGAGAATAAACAGTTCGCTGAAAGCGTATGGCTTTTCGTAAGTGATGCCCACAATGAAGTGTCTTGGGAGCAGCATATCTGCCCTTGCAACTTGCAGCAAAGCGGTCTCAAAGCCGGGCTTCGGGGGCTCCAAGTGGAGACAGGTGCAGGAGCGCTCGTGTATGCCCACTGAGATGCTGTGCCCTCTGCCTTGCAGCTCCGCCCGCTCGGCGGGCCAGTCCACATCCCGGCAGGCACTGTTAGTGTACCTGCTAAGAAACGGCATGGGCCCATGAGCCGCAACCAACAATCCGAAAATATGCACCAGGACTTCTAAGGGAATACGGTCTCCCCAGCCGGAGTCCGGGTCCTGATCGGCCGACGGCTCAGGTCGGGGCTTGGCCCTGGGTTTGACGGCCGCCGCGGGGCCGCGAGCCAGGGGTCTGGGAGCGCGGCGAGGGGCGCGCCTGTGTGCACGAGCGCGGGTAGGTTCCAGGTCTGGCAGCACGAGCAGCATGCTGTCCGCTTGCAGCAGGTGGTACCCAGAGCCGCGAGGTGCCAGACTGTCCCACCACCAGTCCTCGGCCGAGCGGGCCCGCGGGTCGGCCCGCTTGGAGCCCCGAGCTCGACGCCGAACTCGCCCAGAGGATACAGGAGCCATAGCTCCGGGACCTCTGCTGAAGCGGAAGGTGGGTGGGTGGGCTGGGAGGAAGGGGCGTGGCACCGACCTCAGGCCTTCCACTACACATAGCTTCCGGGGGTGGGACTTCCGCCCTGAGTCTAGCCGGTTTGCTGGCGTCTTCCTCCAGTTCGGGAGCTGGAGTTCGGCTGCTCTTGTTGGGCGGGCAGCTACGGCCCCACGCCCCAGATGCACCGCCCTCGGCGGTGGGGCCCTGGGTAAAGTCAGCCACGCCCCTCGTCGACCTCGCCGGCTGCCTTGGAGTTCGCTGTGGTCCTGATTGGTTTAGCAGTGCCGAGACTTCCTTCTCCTCAAGCAGCAGGGACTGCTCTTCTGTGGTCTTCCTCCCCGGGAGCCGTTCTTTAGACCAGCTTCTTGCTCTCCCGCTTGCCAGTTTTGCTCTGTGAGGTCCCGGTGCGGGCTCCTTGGTATGTGCGTCTCCTGATCTATCTGCCGTCTCCTTCCAGGTGCAATCTGTTTACCTCAGACCCCATTCTGTCCTCTCCTTTTTGCCTCCCTCCAGCTGGAAGAGGTTTGGCCCCTAGAGTAGCTAGAGAAGCTTCGATCCTAAGTGGGGAAGAGTGGACGGTTAACCTGCGCTTTGTCCTGGAGGGTCCCCTTTGACCTAATGGCGGCAGCACCTCCGTTGGGCCGCCTGGTGCTGACCCATCTGCTGGTGGCACTCTTCGGCATGGGCTCCTGGGCTGCGGTCAACGGGATCTGGGTAGAACTGCCGGTCGTGGTGAAAAGGCTCCCGGAGGGTGAGTGCAGACTGGTGCGTGGAGGCGGGCTGCAGGTGCTCCTTGTTCCTTAGCCTGGTGCGCTCACCCGGCCTCGTCCCTCCACCGCAGGTTGGAGCCTCCCTTCGTACCTCTCTGTGCTTGTGGCGCTGGGGAACCTGGGTCTGCTGCTGGTGACCCTGTGGAGGCGTTTGGCCCGCGGCAAGGGCGAGCGGATCCTTATCCAAGTGGTGCAGGGGCTTAGCATAGTGGGCACAGCCCTGCTGGCCCTTCTGTGGGACCATTCGACTACAGTGGCAGGGCGGCCCCACTCTGTGGCCTTCCTAGCGCTGGCGTTTGTTTTGGCACTGGCCTGCTGTGCTTCTAATGTCACTTTCCTGCCCTTCCTGAGCCACCTGCCACCTCCCTTTTTACGGTCCTTCTTCCTGGGCCAGGGCCTGAGTGCCCTGTTGCTCTGTGTGCTGGCCCTGGTGCAGGGGGTGGGCCGCCTTGAGTGCCTGCCTGTGCCTGCCAATGGTACCACTGGACCCCCTGTCAAGGTGTCTCTCATCAATTTCCCCGAGCGCTTTTCTGCCCGAACTTTCTTCTGGGTGTTGTCCGCCCTTCTGGGCAGTTCCGCCGCTGCCTTCCAGGGTCTCCTGTTACTACTGCCATCCCCACCATCGATACCCATGGTGGGTCCAGGGCCTCGGGTAGGAACACCAGGAACAGAGGAGGAAGAGGAAGAGGAAGAGGCCTCACCGTTGCAGGAGCCACCAGGCCAAGTGGCAGGCGCTATTCCCAGCCCAGACCCTAAGGCCCACCAGCTGTTCACTCCCCGAAGTGCCTGTCTACTGGGGCTGCTGGCCGTCACCAATGCTCTGACCAACGGTGTGCTGCCCGCTGTACAGAGCTTTTCCTGCCTGCCCTATGGGCGCCTGGCCTACCACTTGGCTGTCGTACTGGGCAGCTCCGCCAACCCCCTTGCCTGCTTTCTGGCCATGGCAGTGCTGTGCAGGTGCACATGGGTCCCTAGCCTCGGTGGGGAGGAACTTGAGGTCAGCCAGGGCCTGCGATGGCCAGTCCTGAATCTCAGCCCGTCCTTGGCAGGTCTCTGGCAGGGCTGTGTGGTCTGTCTATACTGGGCATGTTCTTTGGAGCCTACCTGATGACACTGGCAGTCTTAAGTCCCTGTCCTCCTCTGGTGGGCACCTCTGCGGGTGTGGTCCTTGTGGTAAGTATGATGGGGACAGGAAGTAGGGATAGGGCTTGTCCCAGAGCGGGGGCATTTCATGGTCAGCCTGCTGCTGTACCCCACTTTCAGGTACTCTCGTGGGTCCTGTGTGCAGGCGTGTTCTCATACATCAAGGTGACAATCAATTCCTTGCTGCACGGCGGAGGCCGGGCGGCATTGCTTGCCGCTGGCGTGGCTATCCAGGTGGGCTCTCTGCTGGGCGCCGTTGCCATGTTCCCTCCCACCAGCATCTATCAAGTATTCCAAAGTGGAGAGGACTGTGTGGACCAGTGCAGCCCTTGAGCCTGGGACGCGTGGGACTTATGTCACCTCACTTGTCTCCACCTGGAGATTGCTGCAGTGTCTGAGTCCTGTGGCCCAAGGTGGCCTCCCAACTCACAGATACACTCATGGATATTGCACACTCCATAAGAGACCTGGCTTTTGAGAAAAGACCGGGCGGAGGACCAAAGAGCAGGCTTGGAGCCAGGGATAGGTGGAGGCTGTGGCCTTCACCCTGGAACCTTTGTGGGATTTGCACAATAAAGCATCTTTATCCAGTGAGTTGTTAATCCCATGAGCACAGCTCCCTGTGGCGGGAGTCACCTCTTTCCAGATCCTATGCAGCTTCTGGACAGACAGTCACCCACTTGCCTGGCTGCCCTTCCAGGTCCTTGGATGACCCCAGGACACCATTGCCGTTTTGGAACTACCCGGGAGATGAAGGTCAACTCCCAGGGCCCACGCGGGGCTGGAGCAGTGTAATGCCTCTGGACAGGTAGCAGGGCCACTGCTCCACAGCACTCTTGAGTGGGAGGGTCTGGTGTGGCTGGAAAGTCACCAGGCAAGGGGACCTGATGGTGGTGGTGTTGCCCCGTGGCTACACAAGACCCTCCTACCAAAATTTTCACATCAGAGTTTGGTGCAAGGTCCAGGCCCAAAAGGAGCTCAATGAAACTGGGTATTTGTTTGTTTGTTTAATTTATTTTACCTGCATGGGTGTTTTGCCTGAGGAGGTCAGAAGAAGGTGTCTTATCCTGTAGAACTGGAGTTACAGACTGCTGTGATCGGCCATGTGGATGCTGAGAATCGAACCCAGGTCCTGTGGAACAGCAGTACGTGCTCTTAACCACTAACCCTTCTCTCCAGCCCCAAGAGTTGGTTTTTAAGGTTCCAGCCCACTCAGGATCTGTCATCTTGGGAGCCTTGCTACCAGCCCTCCAGCTGCTATCTTCCAGCTCCTGTAGTCGAAGCCCCCAGGTCCTCTGTTCTGGTAGACATGTAGCTGTCCTCAACCCAAACTGGCAGATGGCTATCTTCCTACTGGGCGTTTCATTTGCCCATGGGTCTGTATGTGGGCTCGTTTCTGGGCTGGGCCATTCGAAGGCTCTCACACAGGGCAGTTAGAAATGAAAAGATCCTTTGAACCAGGAGGATTTCAAGGCCATGTCAGGGCAAGGGCCTGACTCTGCCTGTTCTTTTCATAACATGGCAGACAGCAGAGACGCCTGCGGGGAGGCAGGGCGTCAAGTGGGTCCCAGTGTGACTAGCATGACATGAAGGCCACTCCCACCCTTGCTGCCCACATTCTCCCACGCAACCTTTCTGAGCTTAAGCCTTTTGGCGTCACTCGGCCACCTGGCTTTGTTCTCCTCCCCCTGGCCCCCACACCTTGTCAGGACCACCTGGGTGGCCTCCCTGACTTTCTGTGGCTCGGAGAAGCAGGGGTGCCTTGGCAAGGAGGGCAGGTATTGAAGGGCCCGCGGGGTGAGCGTGCTGCGCAGGAGTACAGCAGCTGGGACGGGTATGCGGGTTGGCCTTGCAGGACCTTGTACTTGTGACCCTCTTCTCTGGCTGTACTCTGCCCTTGTCCCTGGCCAGCACCAATGCCTGAGGCCCGCCCTCCTCTGTCCACCTGAGGCTAGAGACGGTAGAGCTGCCTCCCGGCTCCTCTTCGTGGTTTCCTCAAGTCAGTGATCAAACAACAGCCTCTGTCTTAATGTATATGTCTATGCAAGGTATGCTAGCCCCAAGGGCCGTGGGACAGCATGGCCCTTCAGGTATGTGTGGTCTCCTAGAGAGAAGGGAGCAGGTGCCCCAGATCCTGGCCAGCCTGAGCAAGAATGGGCAGTTCGAGAAAGCCACTGCTCTTTGAAGTTCCAGTGCCTTCCTGTCCCGCCACAGAAAGCAGGGCAAGGGTCACAATAACACAGGGTGGAAAATAACAAGTCCAGGATGGAGGCAAGGCTGTCTGCCAAGTCCGTGAGCATCCGTGGTGGATGGGGTAGCCTGATATCCAGGTCTCTAAGACTTCTTGTTGGGCCGGGTGGTGGTGCTCGCCTTTAATCCCAGCCCTTGGGAGGGAGATACAGGCAGATCTCTGTCAGTTCGAGGCCAGCCTGGTCTATAGAGTGGGCTCCAGGACAGCCTCCAAAGCCACAGAGAACCCTGTCTTGGGGGGGGGGAGACTTCTTGTCCCAGAAGGCAGACCCTTGAGTACTGAGCCGCACTACACTGTGTGCCACCACCATGAATGTCCCCTTGGCCTTTACAAGTCAGAAAAGGGACATTTACAGGTAGCCTGTTTTCCCAGGTGGGAGATAGCCCATGATACAGGGACGGAGCTTGTCTTACTGGGACTGAATGTCTTGACCTCCTGGGTTCTCAGCCCACCCATCGGGTCCCCAACAATTGTGGATTCTGATGTAACTGCAGGTGTGAAAGGGTTTCATTGTTTTTTCAGGATAGGGTTTCTCAGCTCATGCCTTTAATCCCAGCACTCTGGAGGCAGAGGCAGGTGGATCCCTGTGAGTTCGAGGCCAGCCTGTTCTACAGAGTAAGTTCCAGGACAGCCTCCAAAGCTACACAGAGAAACCCTGTCTTGAAAAACCAACCAAACAACAACAAAAAAAGAGGGGGGTGTTTCTCTGTGTAGCTTTGGAGGCTGTCCTGGAACTAGCTTTTGTAGACCAGGCTGCTCTCGAACTCACAGAGATCTGTGTGCCTCTGCTACTTGAGTGCTGGGATCAAAGGCATGCCTTATCAGACTTTGCAAAAGAATTATCTTTTAGTGTCATCAAATACGTAAGGAGAAAAGCACATCACAGATGGATGTGGGACAGTGCCTGTGTAAGACGGCCTCAGCTGTTGAATCTGGAAGTGGACACATGCAAGATCTTACACTATTTGACCTAAGTTTGTATATGTTTAAAATACCACATAAGTCAGTCTGTGGTGGTGCACTCCTTTGATCCCAGAACTTGGGAGGCAGAAGCGGGCAGATCTCAATGAGTTCCAGGCCAGCCTGGTCTACAGAGTGAGTTCTAGGGCTACACAGAGAAACCCTGTCTCAAAAAAAAAAAAAAAAAGAAAGAAAGAAAGTAAAAGAAAAACCCCAAAATACCACATAATAAAAGCATGCATTAGCCACACCTTTAATCCCAGCACTCAGGAGGCAGAGGCAGGCAGATCTCTGTGAGTTCGAGGCCAGCCTGCTCTACAGAGCGAGTTCTAGGACAGGCTCCAAAACTATAGAGAAACCCTGTCTTGGGAAACAAAACAAAGAAGCATATGTTGAACAGAAAAATACAATAGTGCAAAACAGTGATTATGGGTTTAGCATGCAGGTGCTATTTATGTGATGGTTATGGATATTTAATGTTTTTACTTCATGTGTATGGCACCTGGTGCCTACAGAGGCATGAGTCGTTTCTTTGGCAGCTGTGACAGTCATGATAGAGGATGAGATGGAGAAATATAGAAGCAAGGTTTCTGTATATTGTTGAATTAATGTAAACATAAATTATTATACTTTGCTAGGCATGGTGGCACACTGCTTGAACCCCAACACTTGGGAGGCAGAGGAAAGTGAATTTCTGTGAGTTCAAGCCCAGCTTCATCTACATAGTGAGTTCCAGGCTACCCAGGAATTCTCAGTGAAACTCTGACTAAATGTGTGTGTGTGTGTGTATATATATATATATATATATATATATATATATAGTGTGTGTGTTTAGTTTAATCCAGAGAATTACTAAGAAAATAAAATGCAAGAGAAAATAGCAAAATAATTTAAATGGGCTTGTTGTGTTGGCCCATGCCTTTAATCGCAGCACTTGTGAGGCAGAGGCAGTCAGATGTCTGGGTTCAAGGCCAGCCTGGTTTACAGAGTGAACTCCATGACAGCCAGGGCTACACAGAGGGGGGGGAAAATTTAAATGGCATAGTTGATAGAGATGTGGTGGCACATTCCTATAATCCTATCATTCAGTAGGCTGAGACAACAGGATTGCCATGAGTTGGAGGCCAACCTGAGCTATAGATGAGACCCTCTCTCAAAAAGCAAGTAATCAAAAGGCACAGTTAAAACCACCTATTCAGGAGCCAGGCGTTGGTGGCGCACGCCTTTAATCCCAGCACTCAGGAGGCAGAGGCAGGCTGATCTCTGTGAGTTCGAGACCAGCCTGGACTACCAAGCGAGTTCCAGGACAGCCTCCAAAACCACAGAGAAACCCTGTCTCGAAAAAAACAAAAAAACAACAACAAAAAAAACCCCACCTATTCAGAACACAAGACAGTAATGGGAGAACAGAAACAAAAAGATGTAAGGGACGTATAACAAAAGGCAGGTCTTTCCTTGTCATTAGCTGTAGTGTAAGTGGACCTTGTCCTAACACATGCACTGTCCCCAAGATATGTGCAACACCTCCAGGATAGACAATGTCAGGCCATGGAACTAACCTCACTAAGTTTAGATGGGGAATATATTCCTGGAAAAGACCAACACAAAAGAGCAAATCAGGTTGACCCTGTGTCAAAGGGCACACCCGTGCTTCTCTTAACCATTATGTTTAGGCTTATATATTTTTTTAAAGATTTATTTATTTATTACGAACACAACACCCTGCCCCCATGTACGTCTACACACCAGCAGAGGGCACCAGATCTCATTACAGATGGTTGTGAGCCACCATGTGGTTGCTGGGAATTGAACTCATGACCTCTGGAAGAGCAGTCAGTGCTCCCAACCTCTGAGCCATCTCTCCAGCCCATGTTTAGGCTTATATTTTAAAATATCAATTAAACCTAACTCTACTTAAAACAATACAGCAGATACCCCTCTCCAGGGTCTACCCAATAAGTGTAGTCTTTCCCCCTCATCAAGGAAACAACAGATGGAGACAGTTACAGAAAACGCAACTTTGGGCAGTGGTGGCACACGCCTTTCATCCCAGCACTTGGGAGGCAGAGGGAGGCAGATCTCTGTAAGTTCAAGGCCAGCCTGGCTACACAGCAAGTTCCAAGACAGCCTTCAAACCACAGAGAAACCTTGTCTCGAAAAACAAAAAAAGTAAAAAATAAAATAAATACATCCTTTTTTTTTAAGTGGCAAGGTACTTCAGTGGGTAAAGGCACTTTGTCACCAAGCCTGAGGATATAAATTCAGTCCCAAATCCCACATGGTTAAGGAGGGACCCAAGACAGGAAGTGTGGTAAATTGGGTGGTGGGTGGTGGTGGTGGTGGTGGTGGTGCATGCCTTTAATCCCCTTGCTCAGGAGG